CCATCCAGGCAGGGACAGGGAGTTACGGAAGGGCTGCAGCTCGTCTTATCCAGGGGCCCGTTTCACAAAGCCCTCTTACCGGTACGACCTCGTAAAGCAGGTCGTAGACCACCTCTTACTTTTTTACCCTGTTTCACAAAGACCTCGTATATTTACACTGTGGCGTAAACAGCCCAAAATTTAGGACCCCGATTGACCTGTCGTAAATGCTTTAGGAGGTCATAAACACTACAAAGATGGCGTCAACGATTATGGCACTGCAAGTGATTAAAACGCGCTAACAAAGAAGACCTGAGAAATGTTGAGACAGGTCGAACGTGCTCGACACTCATGTTGTTTTCTAACTGTGCAGAAAGTTAGAGCCTCAAATGAACAAACCTACAAGGCGTTCACATGCTATTCCGACCTCCCTGCAAGTGTTGTGTACACAGAGGTATTTGGCAAAAGGGGTTTTCCTCAGTGAAATCGGGGATCTCCATGGAGTATCCCGAACAAGTGTGTTAAGAATACTCCGCGACACCGCTAGTGCTCTGGCCGTGTATCTGGACTTGATTAAAAACCCCTGGGTGCAAAGGGGACATATGTCATTCCTCTTCAACCCTCACTTTGAAGTCCAATAAAATTCTAAATACATCACGCACACAAATATACTTCACAGTTTTGTATTCTGCGGGAAATTCCCTGTTTCCTGATACCATCAACTAAAATGTCAGACAAAGCTAAAGTGCTTAAATAACCTTTCAAAATAGGCTTCATCGTAAATGTCGCCATTTTATACACAATACGAAATCACGATTCACAGCATTATTTGCTGTACAGTGTAGACAGAATGTTTTCAAATGTGAAAATCGGATAATTACTGGGAGTACTGAATTTCAAAAATAACATATTAATGATAACTGAAATCAGTTTTTCATGATATCACTAATGATAATCTGAAACGCTGCCGATGGACCTAGAATCGGTTTGGATGTTTTCGAAAATATACTTACACGACTGACTGACTGACTGAGTTTGGTTTTACGCCGCTTTTAGCAATATTCCAGCAATATCACGGCGGGGGACACCAGAAATGGGCGCCACAAATGTACCCATGTGGGGATTCGAACCCGGGTCTTCGGCGTGACGAGCCAACGCTTTAACCACTAGGCTACCCCACCGCCCCATATACTTACACGAACGCCGAAGTGCGCTTTCCGCCTTATTGGATAGTGTTTACAAAATCACGTCTCGCAAAGGCCGGTATTGAGACGCCTATTACATCACGTATATTTCATAGTCAGCTGCGAAAAATGCATCACTGAATTCCCCATACATTTTAAAATCAAATCACAGTTGGTCTTTATTACCAATACCAGGGAGACTCTATAAGTAGAGTATCCCTGCCAATACCAACTGGATATTGGGTGTGAAAACAAACGCTGGGCTCGGAAGACTGCGCTACTGTAGTTTGAAATGTAAACAAAGAAAAGATCCGATTTATACTGTGTAGCAGCCGGCTATATATTGCTTGCAATGGCTCAATACCTTTAGAATATGTATGGAAAGAGTATCATAGCAAGCAAGAGGAAATTAAAAATAGATACAATGCAATGATTTCCGTGCAGCGTGACGCCATAACAGACGCAAAACCACGCAGAACGACAACGGTAATTATCAGCATTTCTGGCTTCTTCTCTTACTTACAAAGAAAACATATAACAATACACAGATAGTCAGAGTCACTCTGATTACTTACATTTCATATTTATGTACAAACGATCCCTGAAGCAAGGGAAGAGTCATCGCAAAATCCTGTGTACCCTTGTCAGCGAAGCCGCCATTTTGTAAGAAATCGGTCATCGGTTGTGATGTCACACGTCAACATTGTTTTAGTACTACATATTAGGCAATATCTTTGAGGTGATGGTCGGATGAAAAAAAAGTAAACACAATCGTCCTATCCTTCTGATTACACTTTCAGTACTATGATGTATATTTTGCGTATCATTCAGATATTTTTTTTGATGAAACCTACATTTAGCCTTGTTCAATATCAAATCATACGTGGATATAGGGTATACGTTTTTATTCTTTGAAAGTTTTTGATTGTTTGAATAAAACTTACAAAAGAAATTGACACATTTATTTAGTGTATCACACCATATTTTAAACTTTTACACAAGTGTTAGTAGATCAAGCGTAGCCATAACAGCAACATTGACTTTAGGTCCTATAGTGTGCAATATTCAATACATTGGGACTAATATTGCAGTTTCATATGAACAAGTTAATGGACAGCGATTTAATTCAAACCTTATAAGTAAAACTGATAATATTAATGGAAATGATTTATACATTTTATCTTGTAAGTTTCAATGAAATTTAGTGAGAGAATCCAAAATAATTCATTTATTGATATATTTTTTACCATAAGATAACCTGTACATTGAATTAAAAACATAACATTTGCATTGTTATTCAAGCTGTATTTCTATTTTGAAACACTTTGGGAATAACAAGATAAGCAGGTGCCCGTTCGGTCTCGCTTTATGCGCTGCTATGTAACAAAGTACCTCTTATACAATGTACGACATGGATTTAGGACCGCGTCGTACGACATGGATATGACGTCTTTGTGAAACGGTCGTAAAGGAGGTCGGAAGAGGGTCGTAAACAAGGTCGTAGGGTCTACGACCTCCTAAATTTAGGAGGCTTTTGTGAAACGCGGGCCAGGTGTTTAGTGCCGTTGATTCCTTATACTTGGCAGCCAAACCAAGCTCTTGTGTCTTCCCCATGCGGCTTGACTGTAGAGAGAGAAGCATCCCTTGGCCTCAGCTCCAGGAAACGCGGACTGGATATCACGAATTGCAGCCATTTCAAAGCCTGTCTGGACTCTTGTTGGTAACAGGTCAAACTGCAGAGTCTCCCGTGTGTGAGTCTTGAGGAGGCTGGAGAGTGTTCGGTATGTTCATGTTTGTCGATCTGGAAGCACAGCAAAAACAATAGGATATGTCAGGGATCCTTCTTTCCCTTGGAGAATGTGCACTTGGTTCCAGAGAGCAGGCTAGGAGGTGAAGATGTAGACTGTGTCTGCTGACTGAAGGGCTTGAAGTCGTATGTCGGTAGCAAAAGCCAGGGTTTTGTAGTCTTACCGTCTGTAAACATCAAGAAGCGATCCCCACCCTAGGTTGTGATCTGAGGGGTATAACTCATATTGTTACATTCAACTAAATCTTTCCTTGGATGACAAATTGTCAATAATCAAAATATTCATCCAGACAGATTTTCAGTATTTTTTTCTAGTGTACTTATCGCATAAGATATTTTTTACAAAGTATTTTTAAGAATGTCAATAAAAATATTTATAGATATCATATTGTTTATTATTATAGCAGTTGACCTTGCCTGACTGACTGTTTCATTTATACATGTGTATGGAAAGAGGAATGCAATTAGAATATTGTTACTATTTTACGCGTGTCATATATAAAACACTGGGTGGTTTAGCTTTCACGCGACTGGACTCTGGACTGTACCCCTACACCTATTTGGGTGCACCTAATTCCCCCTACCGAACCACTGTAGTACATCTTGGATGAAATACACTGCAAGTATTGGGTGTAAGTGAGCTTACAGGACCCTACGCAATTTCAATAATTGATGCATCAACCTACCGCATATTTGCTACCGACATACAGACAGACAAGTTTATTTAGAAAATAATAGTGGTGATAAGTTTTCACCTTGTCTAACACCTTTTCTACATTTAAGGAAGGGCGACATTTCATATCCACCGATAACAGATGATTAAATATTATGGTACATATTTCTAACAAGAATTTGACATTGACACCATATCGTAACATTTTTTACCACAGCCCTGCTCGCCATACGGTATCTAAGGCTTTAGTGAAATCAATAAACACACAATAAAGCCTACGCTTAGAAGGGTTGCTGATATGTGAAGCCTTGTCACAGCAGCCTACGAGTGTGGGCTGTAATCGACCCAGCGAGCATTATAACTGTCTTCGACACAACTTTTATACTGCCCAGTCGGGGCGGGGCTAGCCTCAGGGCTGGATTGACGCTTTACCTTGTGTGATTTATCCGTTATCTTTCGATTAATGTTTTATCAGTTCATGTGCCGAGACATCCGTAATTTCCCCTCGCTCCAAGTCATGCCTGGGTGGTGTAATATTTGATAATAGCCTTGCGAGTCATCAAGGGATAGTGACGGTGTGATGATCTGGAGCTCAGTTTTCTAAATATATGTTTTTGCGAAAAATCGAAAGGATTATGCATCTTTCGTGAACAACTCGTGTAATTCCGGGACAAGCCGAATAGCGACTTGTGCCCAACTGGAAGGATTTCATATTGGCGCATGAACATCAGAACTACTTTAAACAAGAACGACAACTCTATTCCTGTTTCATTCCAATGGTACTTAATATCACCGAAACACTCATATATTGTATTGTTGGCTTTTTAGGGCTCCATGCCTTTAGGGAAGGGGACCTACTTTGAAATGTAATCGTTCGGATTATTATTTAACACGTCACAATTTAATTCTGAACTCACAAAAGTCCAGAAACTCTCCGCACTGTGGACACTTTCTGACAAGGGATTCGACGAAATTAAACATGCAGTTGTAATGAATATATGCTAAGGCTGAGATGGGCGATCCTTTAACTGGTGAAAAGCTAATAAAGACATAGAAGACACCATGCCATGTTCGTATTTATTTCGAATAAATATATGTTGCATGACAATAATGTTAAAACATGTGCTGATGAGTGAATATGGGTTGCTTTGAAAATAGAGTTCCTGTGGACAATGATATCACGGTAAAACAGCTAACTGATGCAGGTTTCCAACACGTTTGTGGAAACGCTAAATGAACGGTATGGTGCTGGCAAAGTTTGAAATGTAACCAGGTCCAATGGAGGCCACTAACTTCTGGCACTCTTAAGTGGCGCAACTCTGCACACTACTACCGTACCTGTACCCGTATCTGTATATCAAATGTAGTTTTTGAATAACATTGGCGTCTTTCGACTCCGTAATGCATCAAAATATTTCTCCTTATTTCCGCGTCGTACTTTGATTAACTTCAGAGGAATTGTAACACTGATCTCGTGATCCCGGAAGAGCTTCACGAGTATAATACCAATCGCTGATTGGTCAAAACGGTGACACTTGCTGTACTTCCGGATTTCTCCTCTACAATGAAGAAGACTTTTATGATTATCCGGGCACATGCATTTGGGGCTGAGTGCGCAGGCGACCCAGGGTTTCACCACTGCATTGCGAATAAACCGATCATTCTTCAGCATGATAAAGAAAGCACCGGGTTCCACTGTGTGAGAGAATTTGCATGTCCTTTCCCCAAAGTAATTCATCATATCCTTCGTAGTGTGTTGACCAATTGACCAATCAGCTCTGTTGATGGTCACGCCCTTGATGTCCAGTTCCTTTAACAGAGTGAGAATGGAATCCCCCTGGAACCGAACCGAGGCGTCTGTCCACACCAGATGCTCTGCTGTCGGGAGATTGGCCTGCAATAATGGCGTACTGTTAGGAAACCTTCTCGACAAGCAATACACACAATCCAGCAGATATGTTTGTTGTTTATAGCCGCTCTCAGCAATATTGCAGCTATATGGCGGCGGTCTGTAAATAATAGAGTCTGGACGAGACAATCCAGTGATCACGAGCAAGAGCATCGATCGCGCAATTAATATACCATGATAGTGTCAACCAGGTCTGAGAGCCTCACCTACCAATCCCGTTAGTCGCCACTTACTACAAGCGTGTGTGCATGCGTGAGTGCGTGAGTGCGTGAGTCCGTGTGTGCGTGCGTGCGTGAGTGAAATATCTATCATTATATCTTCTTGTAAATCCTACCTTTCGCAAATATATCATAAATGTTATCTGATATCACACTGCAATTAATTCTCTTTCCTGATGGTTTCAAGCACGGCTTCATCACAGGACAATAGAATTAGCAAGGGTGACAATACCAACGGCTCAACAATGTGCATGTTTCATTGCTGTCACTTGCCATTCGACTATGTACATTTTATCCCTCCTGATAATATACTGGACAAAAATAGTTAGGGATATATGTAAATTTTGAAATTATGAATAATTATCTATTTATTCATTGACACGTTGATAAAATATCAATCATAGAAATAGCAATATCCCTAACTTATTTTGTCCAGTATACATTCATATTTTTCTTTTTATCTCGAAACCACAAGATTACTCACGTTGATAATGAGGGGCTTCCATGTGTAGCATTTCAGTTGTTGAAGACGAGGGGGCATCGCCGAAAGTGGGAATGTCCTCACTTCGCAGCGACAGAAACGTTCAACCTGGGTAGAAGAAAGACTGAGTGAGTATTGTTTTACGGCGCATTCAGCAATATTCCTGCAACATCAGGGACACCAGAAGTTGGTGTCACACACTGTGGGGAATCGAACCCGGGTCTTCGGCGTGAGGAGCGAACGCTTTCACCACTAGGCTACTAGAATGTTGAATGTGACTAATTATCAACTTATAATTGTATTGCGCCTGGTATCTCCTATATATATATACCTTGCTTACTTTTCACCTGTATTTCTGTTTTGTTGTGCTTAGCTGAAACAGTATAGGTCAAAATTAGGTTTCGTTGCTTGATGACCTCCAGGTTTGATGAGCTCGCCTGGGTCTCCCCAACATGCTGGAGTCCCTTCTCTTGGTGACAATTGTCGGTAGGTGGCGCTTAGATGTCAGTAACCGCAGCGTGTGCTGGGACAATGCCATTAAAATCATATTTGTGAATATTCCACAGAACACATTTTGTTTCTCATACATTGTACTATTTTGGGGAGCAGCTGCCCATGGCGCTCAGAAACGACAGGGTGTATGAAATGTCCAACAATATTACATATTATTTAATAAGTTCGTCTCAGCACAATCTGCGGTTGCTTGAGGCATGCGCTAACAGCGAAACCTACCAAGTAGTATCGCTAAGGGAGGCAATCCCATTCACTACTCACCTGGCTCCTTTGTTCGGTTGTAAGTCCAAGGTCATAGTAGACAAAACTGTAATTGGTAAGCAAAGGAAACACTCTTTCATGGAGGTTCTTGATCATTGCTTGCGATTCGAAGAAATGATTTGTGGAGGCAGCAGTTACAAACACGACCTTCTTGGCTGTGTAATTGGGCTTCAGAAGTCGGGTCACTTCCGACAGTGTGTCTCTGTCAAGGTGCGCCATAGAATTTAGTACGCTGGACAGACTTTCTTTTGGGTCAGTGATCACATTCCCTATGCAGTTGGTGTCCACACACGGGGTTGCTGCAATACAATGAAACGAAAAAATATACAGCAATCAGTTTTGTGTTTGAATGTTTTAAAGCATAATTTTTTAAAGTATACTTTTATCTGTTAACCCGACTGGATAGCCGTGATGAATTATTTCGAATAAGGATATGCTTGAGTCAAGTTGAATAACTCCTGGTGAATTTTCAGGAAAGACATCAGTTAGTCTTGCATCTTTTGTGTAAATTTTGTTTTTATTTATTTTTACTTTTTATGCTACCCCAGTATAAATACATGTAAGGTGTTGTCTACTAAAGTGGAACACTTCATAATTAGACTTCCTGCCATCCACGGAGTACGAAGTGACGATGCACATTTACATTTAGACTGCGTTGCTGCTGCTGAATTCAGTAACACAAATCTCACTCATCCTCATCAGTGTCATAGCCGCCGTCAGCCTCGCCTTTATTAACTAATTACGTCATCATCGACAACGTCAACCACAGCAGCAGTATAAAACTTACATGTTCCTGACACGTTGTTGCAGGTTCCGGTCGGGGGGTTGGCCTTCCACAAACCGCCGTCCTTCATAGCTGATGACAGAACAAGTTCGCAATTCAACAGGTACTGAGGAGATAGGCGCTGGGCATTTTCATATATATATGCATTCTCTAGTATCGGAATCAAGGACGATGGGTTTTAGTTTTAAACTTTAAATGTATCAGGCATCGAATATTTTGAGAAACAAAAGTTATCATTAGTTGTTTTAGAATTAAGTAAATTTACTTATTTCACTTGGAATTGGTAAACACCGAGTGAGGCGACAGTATTCGAGAATTAACTACACATCTCTTGCCCTGTCGTACACGGAACACCTCCCCCTTCTTTCTCTCTCAACCCCCTCTCTCTCTTCTCTCTCTCTCTCTCTCTCTCTCTCTCTCTCTCTCTCTCTCTCTCTCTCTCTCTCTCTCTCTCTTTGTCTCCGTCGCTCTCTCTCTCTCTCTTTGTTCTCTTAGTCTCTCCATTTGTCTTACTTTGGATTCTAGCCGAATAGTCGATGAACAGGTCTTCAAACCGCACGTCTGGTTTTAAAACAGAAGGAAATATTGTTTCAAATAAGTTACTGTATGGAACCTTAAAAATGTCATGGTTAACCTGAGTAGGTCGAATGCATTCAGCCTATGTGAACGTGTGGATGTCTCTGATAAATGAAGCTATATATTTTCCATTTACATTACAGTAAAAGACAAAGCAATTGTGTCTTCGACAAACAGTGACCATGACACATTTCTTTCGCTTTTATTGACTTAATACAAAGAACAAGAATACCCTTTTAACGAGAAACACCCTCTGAACTGGAACTATGATATTCATAATGGATTTGAAATAAATTAAGTTGTCTTTGATCGTTTGATGATCGTTCTGAACATTACGTCAAACGCATTGACGAAATTGTAGTTTGTTTGCACTGTTTTAAAAGTTTAAAAAACCACTCTGAATTTGAAATAATGAAAATTACCTTCATCCTTGTGTTCAGCCCGAATCAGCTTTCGCTTTCCAGGTGTCAGTTTCTCGTGTTTGTCTGATGCTTTTCCATCTGCTTGGGGATCATCTATATAAAGATCACTTAAGTTATATTTTCTAAAACGTTACTTGACTGTAGAATGTTTGATCAATTATTCCAGTACCACAGGCCTATAGTACAAAGGCAGCCAACAACAATGGTATACAATCACAATGATTGCAGGCGGGGTTTTCTAAGTATACAAAAGTATGGTCGATAAACATAGTGACTGCCAAATTTGCGAATATTACTTGTATTATTAGTGTTCATTAACAAATTAAATTTACATGTATTAGGATATGAATGGTAATATTGCAGTAGATATTTTGTCCTTAAATCAGTGTAGTAAGGACATTCAAACAAAAAGTGGAACTCATTTTCAGTTACATTATACATGTATGTAGAAAATTTACACAATCTGTTTTCTCTTGGAATATTTTGATATCTACCCTTCTCGAACATAAGACCATTTGAAGAACATCTTAATCTGGACAATGAAACGGAGAATCTTCTGACATTAATCTCGTGGAGGTATTGCTCTGTATTTCAAAGATTTAAGAGTGATTTTTGGAATGTAATTACGCCATTACCATTGAGTTCCGCCAACGGTATCGTGTGTGTCGTCCATGGCAAGTAGTTCAACACAAGGAGGGCCAACAACCCAACACTAATGAACAACAGGACCCAGCGGGCTGAAACAGTGTTATATATCTACATTAAAACGTGGAAATGATGATGATAATGAATAAAATAAGCCAATTTCACCAGCATACACACACGCATTTCATCAGTATTCACACACACTCAACATACACACACGTACACCCTCAGCATACACACAGACTCAACATACACACACGCACTCTCTCAGCATACACACAGACTCAACATACTCACATGTACTCCCTCAGCATACACATAGACTCAACATACACACATGCACTCCCTCAGCATACACACAGACTCAACATACACACATGCACACCCTCAGCATACACACAGACTCAACATACACACATGCACACATACACACAGACTCAACATACACACTCCTCAGCATACACACAGACTCAACATACACACACACACAGCACTCCCTCAGCATACACACAGACAACATACACACATCTCTCAGCATACACATACTCACATACACACACTCTCAACATCACACATACTCCCTCAGCATACACACACAGACTCAACATACACACACGCACTCCCTCAGCATACACACAGACTCAACATACACACATGCACTCCCTCAGCATACACACAGACTCAACATACACACACGCACTCCCTCAGCATACACACAGACTCACCATACTCACACGCACTCCCTCACCATACACACAGACTCAACATACACACATGCACTCCCTCAGCATACACACAGACTCAACATACACACACTCCACTCAACATACCTCAGCATACACACAGACATACACGCACTCCCTCAGCATACAACATACACACATGCACGCACTCCATACTCAGCATACACACAGACTCAACATACACACATGCACTCCCTCAGCATACACACAGACTCAACATACACACATGCACTCCCTCAGCATACACACAGACTCAACATACACACATGCACTCGCTTCGCATTAACAAATATATACACACACTCCCTCAGTATTCACACACATACTCAGCATACACACATACATACCCACACGCACTCATTCAGCATACACACTCACACGACGTTACTATGCTATTTCTTCGGGTCATCTACTGATACATAGTTGATCAGATGTACATAGTAACTCCACTGTGATTATGTCCTTAACTATTTCACCAAATACCCAAGATTTAATACTCACAAAATGTCTGTAAAGCTGAACGCTGAAATATCATAAAATAAGATGTCATTAATGGGTTCTGAATACACATGCTATAGTGAGATTAAAAAGTGTACAAAAGCTCTTAGATGAATACACATACAATAATTTCTAAATGCTACCCAACAACAAGTGCACGTCTTCACAAAACGTATTTGACTTTGGACAAATACGTTACTCCCAAGCTTAACATTCGAATCGATTTCGAGTTCGGTTGGAAGGGGTTTGCGCTCGAGAAACCTATAATAGTTGGTTCAAAATATTTGGTTGCTTGGTTGGTGTTTTACGCCGCACCCAGCAATATTCCAGCAATGTATGGCGGCGGTCTGTAAATAATCGTGTCTGGACCAGACAATCCAGTGATCAACAACATGAGCATCGATCTACGTAATTGGGAACCGATGACATGAGTCAACCAAGTCAGCGAGCCAGACCACCCGATCCCGTTAGACGCCTCTTACGACAAGCATGGGTTACTGAAGACAAGTTCATGGGTACAGTGACATCAAGGGTACACACAAAGGTGACGTCCAGAGCGATCGCAGCGCTGGGATGATCGTAACTCCCTGACTTTAGGCTCAGGGTCGCCGTAGAGCTAAGATCACTTCGTGGAACAGGACCTTACGATGACTTGCATCAAACTTCCGAATTTTTGCTACAAACGTGGGTTGCTGAAGATCAAATTGTATCCGGATCTTCTTGGGTCCCTTACAAATAGTTCATAAGATTATAAGGATAAAAATTATACAAATGAAACGGAACACTCACCATTCTGGCTGTTGAGATGTGATGCGTTGTCACAGCAGCCTACGAGTGTGGGCTGTAAGCGAGCCAGCGAGCATTATAACTGTCTTCGATACTACAGTTACACTGCCCAGTCGGGGCGGGGCTAGCCTCAGGGCTGGATTGACGCATTACCTTCTGTGACCGTTATCTTTCGATTTATGTTTTATCAGTTCATATGCCGAGACATCCGTAATTTCCCCTCGCTCCAAGTCATGCCTGGGTGGTGTAATATTTGATAATAGCCTTGCGAGTCATCAAGAGATACTGACGGTGTGATGATCTGGTGCTTAGGTTTTGAAACATATGTTTTCGCGAAAAATCGAATGGAATAGACACAAGTTGCACACGTACGAGGCCTTTCCTAAATATTTGTAATTAAATTGCGATGTGTGAATAATGACTGTGCAGAATGTATACTCATGCCAATAATGGTTGTCACCCCCTTCAATTTTTTAATTGGAGAGGGGGTGTGGGGGTGAGGTGTGTGGGGGGTGTGGGGTGGGGGTGGGGAGGGGGTGACAACCATTATTGGCATGAGTATATTTACAGTGCTGAGAAAATGTATACAATTGATAGAAAAAGGTGCACATACATGTACCTTCACACATACACATGAAGTTGTATAAACAATCAAACTTAATAAACAGACATGATGAGCATGTACTGTTAAGTTCTAATATCATACCCCACATGGGTACAATGTGTGAAGCCCATTTCTGGTGTCCCCCGCCGTGATGTTGCTGGAATATTGCTAAAAGCGGCGTAAAACCAAACTCAGTCAGTCAGTCAGTCTAATATCATAATGTTTGAAATTGCAAGTGCTATAAATAGAAGCCATTGTAACATAGATGGTGTAGATGATATTCCTGTTGAATGTTTGAATCAGAATGCATCATAATAACTATGCATAAGATACTTAATGTTTGTTGCCAATACTGGCAACATTCCTAATATGTGTTATAATATACCAAAGAGTTGTACAGTGGACCATACTGCTCGGTTATCTTATAGAGGCTTAACTCTCACAAATTCAATTTATCAACTATGCTGTAATGTACTTAACCAACGCTCAGAGAGCCAATGGTAATTTAAATGATGCACAAAATGGTTTTAGGAAAAAAAGATTCACTACTGACCATATTCACAGTGTATGTGCAATTGTCGAAAACATACGAAACAGTCAACTATATTGCACTTGGTATACTGAATACTGCTTGTGATATACACTATATTGCACTTGGTATACTGTATACTGCATGTGATATACTCTATATTGCACTTGGTATACTGAATACTGCATGTGATATACACTATGTTGAACTTGGTATACTGTATACTGCATGTGATATACACTATATATACAGCATATTGTAACTTGG